GTCTTAACGGGTCTTGTTGCATTGTATAGCTATGAGTGCAAGAGTCTTTGCCTCTGCTACTGAAAATAAGAGTGTGGTTAGAGCCCTGAAGTTGTATGCAGATTGTTATAAGTTCTTTAAACAAAATGTAGCTTAGTAACTGAGGATTTTATAGAGAAAAATACGGGAAAATGTCATGGCCTTTACTATCAATCTGCAGCTATATTTACATTTACACTTCAACTAGTTATTTCGGGTATCTACAGAGGAATTTTTGAAAATCGCCCTACCTTTCTTGTAAAAATTGTCACTCATTGTGGCAGGGTTGATTTAGTGTTAGTAAGGTTATAAATAACTTTATTAGCACCATACTCTGAATTGAGTGGCTTGCTGAAAATCTGGGAAGTGCTCAAACTGGTGTTCAAATTTCCAGGCTTTCTGTCTCAGTGTTGGTTTGAATGTGATACTACAGGTCTTACCAAATACAAAAAAAGAAAAAAAATAGGAATTATAATTTAATTTAAATAGTCTGCCAACAATTGAGTGCTTGCTTTCTGAATTTGACAGATGCTGTATTTGTTTCTGATGTGTTATGTCATAGGACATGCAGCATCATTGACTGCAGTTCTATGGTGTTGGTGAAAATGATGTAATTTCTGTAGTTGCAAGGAATTGACTTAATTGTAGTATTATGAATGACTCTGTGTTGAAGAGAAGAATGGTCAAGGTATATACTTATGAACCTGAAAGACAGCTGAACAAAAAACTTTATGAAAAGGAAATTGTTATTTTTGTGTGTGTGTGTGAAATTCTTAACTGTATTCCAGCAATTGATTTTAAATTAAAAAATAGTTAAAAATCATTGGCACTCTCTGACTCTTCAGAACAAGAAAACATTAGAACAGGTTTCTTGATAGGGCAACTGAAAATTCTAACTCCTGTAACGGTACCAATATGTTAAATAGCAGATAGAAGTAGGGTTTTTTCACAATGGTGAAGCAGGAGCAGTACTGTACAGAGAAGTTATTTAGAGAAGAAGGAAATACTTTTAAAAAGTATTATGCTGGTTTAGTCTTGATTGATTTATTTGAACGTTTACGGAAGAAGTGTGTATTTAGGATTGACAAGAGAGAAATCAGTGCCTGGAATTGTTGAATTTAGGATTAATGTTATGATTGTGTAACTAGAAACTTATTGAGGCACAGTGCATTTTGCATTTGCACAAATTTTCCTCTCCATTTCTGGTTAATGGTTATCCTTTGTTTAGCTATGCATTGAAGTATGACTTTGGAAAATCATTGTCTTTTTCCGTGAATGAATTAGCAGCCTTTTATGTTTTGAAGATGCTCATGCTTTTCTGTCCTGAGGTGGGGAGCTAAATGAGAATACTCTTAAGCATTAAGAGTATGTTATCTGAGCAGTTCAAACTTAGGCCACAGTCTGAAACTTTCTGACTGCAAAGGAGGGAAATCTGAAGTAGGGAAGGAATTTGAAGTAGGAGTTAGAGTATTTGAAGTAGGAATTAGAGTACTTATTTTTAAAAGAAACTGATGCTTTGATAGCAGAATTCAGCCATTCTTCAGATGATTTATTATGCTGTTCTGTCTTGGTGTCTCATCGTGTTCTTTTGCTTAGTGTGTTTTTTCCAACAGGGTCAGCCACTGATCTGTTTCACAGCTGGCACAGAGCTAGGGCTGATGGTGGGAGGCAGTAAGTGCTCAGAAAGGAGGTGGCTGAGCGACTGTGTGCTTCAGTGCATCCCCTGTCACTGGAGAGATTGTTTTGCATTCACAGTCTGGTGCTTGTGTATTGATCAGCTTCAGTCATGCGGCATGATTATCTCTTAATATCTAGGGCATGAAAGTGTCACCAGGTGGAGGAAACTTAATTTTTTTTTTTTTTCAACAATAGGTTTGTGAACCAGTTTATGTGAGGTAAGCAGGAGTGGGAACAAATAGCTCATTGGTTAGAATCATAGAATATCTCAAGTTGGAAGGGACCCGTAAGTTACTCCATGGTGGTTGCCTATACACATAGATTGACTTTGCAGGAAACTTCAGTTGTTTGAGATGTGTTATCTTTAAGTTAGAGGAGGTCAGTTATCTGAGGTGGAAGAAAATATACCTGGGCAGTTAACAGAGTAGTTAATTTGTGTGTTTATACCTAAGATTATCTCTCTTTACTTTTAACTTTTTAAGCAAGAAAGAATTGGGAAAACCAAAAAAGTTAGAAGTGACAGTGTTACAAAGGAAGACTCCAGAAAACAAGTTTGCAAGAGATCCGAACAATGATTTAGTGGTATGAACTTCTGCCTTATTTCACTGGAATGAACTTTGATTGAAACTTTACATGTAAATATTAGGTTTTTTACTACTCATTAAACTACATGTTGGTTTTGTTTGTTTTAAAATAAATACCTTCAAGGCTTACAGTGGCTTCGGCCTACTTACTGGAAGTGGATCAGTAATATAGAAATCATCAAAATCACTGTCCAAACAAGCTCATACAGGGAAAAACTATTCAGTTTATGTAGTTGAAAGCAAATCATGATTTAAATGATTTATTAACAATACTTAATTAACCAGTAGTCAGTGAATTATATAGCTGTGATCAGTATCAGCAGCATGATAAATCACAATACTAGACCTACAGAGAATGTTAATGTACCACCACAAACTTCAGAATGCCTGATTCTAATCCCCACAAGTTCTAATCACACTCGATACACATGCCCACCCACCCTGGGCAGTGTAGGTTATAAGCACACCCTGCCTCTTCTGCTTATTTTATACTTCTGTTTGAGCTGATTCCTTCTTTGCTTTAAAACTCTCTGTTCTGGCTACTCTTCCAACTAATGGTCTTTGTGATCTTCAGTGTGATGAATATCGAGAGGCCACTGTCTCAGTTTTGGGTGAACTCTTCACACATAGCCTCTGTACTTGCATTCCTCTCTTAAATGCTGTTATTTAAGCTGCTTTACTAAAGGTGTGTTATGCAGCCCCCCTGCCAAAATGTGGAGCATTGTGCCATGCAAGGTCCACACACCACCCCCCACCCCCTCCCACAGTAGTCACTAAGACTTTGGCTAGATTCTGAATTTACTATCTGTGAGCATGTTCTTGTGTCATGATAAATGCTCTGTAGCTTTTCACCCATCTGTCTAGATAAGTGATTTCCATCTCTTGGATGTTGTGTGAATGCTGAGTGTTCCTATTTTTAAATGCCAACAATAACCACAAATGTTGAACTTTATTGTAGTGTTCAGTCACTTCTGAAGTGTTACCAGGAGGTGGTAATGTCAGACCTTGTCAGTGAGTGTCGAAGCTTAAGCTCAATCTCCTTGTGCTGACAGCCTGAATTTTTGTAATTACAATTTCATATTTTATTTCCTTTTGCAAGACTATTCTGCATGAGGTCTTTTTTAGGAGCCACATGAGTTGACTAAACATAGGTCAGTCAGTTGTTGGCTTATTTACCTACAGCCATTAAAACGCGGAAGATCTATACATGCTGGATGGCTTTTTGGTCTTGAAAGACTTTGGTCTGATCATCAAATGATCAGCACGCTTGTACTGTTTGTGTACTGAATCACTTGAGATCATGTATCTGTGAACGTTTTGATCTTGCAGAAAGTTGTTCTTTAAAATAAAGAACAAGTCGCTAGTGTTGCTGAGAGAGAAAATAGCTTTTAAGAAGAATAAAATAGAGCTTAGTAAATTTAAGAGGACTGTCAGTACATTAAGGATTAGATCCACTCAGAATTTAGTGTAGCTGCTTTGAGTAATGTTCTGGAGAAGTGGGATGTCCAATGAAAATGATTGGCTGGGAAAAGTAGCTTGTTTTATTTGTTGGGCGGCAACAGAGGAATGGGAGAGCACAGGACTTGCTTCTCACATAGCTCCTTCCATACCAGGTTATTTGACATTCTGGTTATGATCAGCAGAAACCTTCTGGGTTAGATGTGATGTAAATGAAGCATGTGGCAAGTAACAAAAGCATAGCAGGCTTCTCACTCTTTGGAGGTCGTGCCTGAAGTGTCTTCTGCTTATGTGTGTTCCTAAATGTAGATCTTTCATTGCTGAGATTCATCAGTGCTGAGCTAACAAGAGGTTACTTCCTTGAACACAATGAAGCAAAATACACAGAGCGGAGAGAGAGAGTATACACATGCATGCGGATACCGAAAGAACTGGAAAAGGTGAAGTATACTTTAAGATTTGTTTTAACTTAGAGATTAAATCTATTGCATTAAATTACTTAAAGAAACACTTATTTTTCAAACACTTTTGCTACTAAGAAACATTTAAACATCTATAATGATTAATTTTCATTGTTAGTAACTTAAACATTTGTGTTCCTGTTCTTTTTGCCTATGTTTGCTTGTTGCTGCTGGCAACTCATGTTATTAGCAGAGATGGTCAAACTAACTTTCAAGTCTGGATGATGACAATTCAAATACAAAGCTCTCACTGCTCCTTAAAGGAGTAGTCAAGTAAAAGAAAAATTTTTATAGCAATTTTTTTTAATGTAAAATTACAGTTTTGAAGATTTTTCCAGTCTAAAATGTTTTGAGAGCAGGAAGATTTCAGTCCTTTAAAAATACAGTGATGGATGAGTTTCTGTCTAAGGTTTTTGACTTAATTTTCATGGCCTTCTATTTTGCTTCTTGCCACTGTTTACTGCATCTTCCCTCTGTCCCAATGCTGTGACCCTTCCTGAGGCATTTCTGCCACCTCCTTTATGTCAGCTTAGATATAGTTCTGGCCCTGCGATGAGCCAATTCCAGTGCTATAATGTAGGAAGAGAGTTTTATTCTGGTTTAACCGTTTTAATTTGGGAGGTGGCAGGAATATGCTCAAGGATGATAAGTAAGCCAACATTGGTAATAAGGTTTGGCTAGGCTGCAGTGTAATGATAACATTAAAAGTAATATTACTAAAATTCTCAAAACCTCTAGGGGTGAAGTTACATGGTAGGGCTAAATCAATTTAACTTATATTGAAGGAAGAGTCTTGTTTCACTGTTCCTTTCACTTCAGTCTCCTACCTTCTGCATGCTGCCTGTTTTGCATGAGATGTGGTGCTTGTTGGACTATTGTAAGAGTTAAATCAGCTCATAATTCAGCAGTGAATGCTTTGCTTTGCTCTGTTTGTTCTTTGCTAGGATAGTGAGCTGAATCGCTCAGCCAATATTCTTGAGAATCTACTACACAAGGGCAGAAGGGGAGCTGTGTAGCTTTGAGTAGGGATAGAAAGATGAAAGACCAGTGGAGGAGGGAGAGAGAGTAGGATTCCCTTTGTCAGCAGCACTTGGGTTCCCCCGTAGTATCATTAAATTCATCCTTGGATCATAATGAGACCTGGTTTTACAAACCTAAATTCCCAGTCAGTTACTGCAGAAAATCACAGAATGAAAGAGATTGGGATGGAGCTCTGGACATGATGTAGTCCAAACCCTTGCTTAAAGCTCCGTCACCTACAACAGGTTGTTCAGGACCAGGTGCAGTTGGGCTTTGAACATCTCCAGGGATGGTGCCTTCACGTCCTCACTGCTTACCCATTCCAGTTTACGGTAGAATACTCCAGTTATGGTAGGGTGTCAGTTGAACAATAACAGCAGTTCTACGTCATCCTCGTTGTAATTATGTAGACTATTACGTGCTGTCTCCAAGCCACTGAAATTATTTTGAAGGATCATCCCATAGATTTCCAATAAAACTTTCAGTGCGTAAGAACAAGTGAAGCCCAACGGTCTTTTATAAATAAGGTTGATACTGTAAATGGTGAAATTGATGGTTTTAGCATGGTAAACCAAACTTCAGTCTGTACTTTGAGTATGAAAGAATATGAAACTGAGCAATAAGCTGGTATATTTAAAAAGTGATAGTTATCTTTAGAGAGATTATGAAATAAATTTGTTAGTTCTTTGCATGGGCTGAGTCCAGGTTAGTATACGTATTAGCAATATCAGATTGAATCATACTGGTTGAAAAACTTGAAAAAGTATGATGATAAGCATCTGGAAAGCAAAACAAATAGTGTACAGATCATCACCTATTGCAGGAATCACTTGACTGTGTGATTCTAAAAGTCTGCTTAATTGAAATAAAGCATGTGAGACACTAGAAAAGGAAGAGAAGAATTTTCTTGATGGCTTGTATTGTTTACTACCTAATAGTACAATTACAGACTAGGAATGAAAATCATAATCAGGTAGAGTGCGAATAAACTGGACTAAATTTATCAAAGCCTCTCTGGAGATACTCTTCAACACTTACTACATGTACATAATTTTATAGTGGGGTGCAATGTTAAAAGGGTAGTATTTTTTGTTGTTCTGAATACGCCTTTTTTATTCACAGAAGCTAGATAATTTGTAACATAAATGCTACTTACACTCAAGCTTTTCGTGCAGTTGCAGTGGAAGCTCTTCATTGTAATAGGTTATTTACACTAAATGAAAAGGTAGTCCCTATTCCTACTGTCTTAAGGGAACATTTGTCAGTTGAACTCAAATTTAAACTTTGTGCTCTTTTGCTAAAATATGATGATGGAAAAGCTCTGTAATCTTTTCTGGTAGGTCCTCAGTATCTGGAAGGTAGCAGCAAAAATAATATTTACAGAAATGAGTGGCAGGTTCAATGCTGATTATATTTCAGCATGTGCATGTAAGTGTGCAAGTGCAGTGTGGTAAAAAAATTAGGAAAATGAGGACATTAAATAATAATTGCAAATACGAAAAACCATGATTACACTCGGGCATAGAAGAAGTCTTATCTAAATCAAAACGAAAATGCAGAGTTGTTTTCTAGATTGTAGAGATGCCCTCAAAGAATATGGGGCAAAACGACAGGCTGTCTTTCTATTTCGCTTGGGTTAAGGAGTTTTAAAAAAAAAAAAAAAAAAAAAAAAAGGCATGTTCAGCTCCAGTCATCCTCAGTGCTTGGATATTCAGCACCTTGTTTAAAAGTTAGCAAAGAAATGGCTAACTTAATGGCATATTAAAATGCAATGCATAAATTCATCTGTTATTTGTAACTGTTCCTGATAATTTTGAATAACACTCTGCTGAAATTTTAGAAAACGGTACTAGAGGTGAATGACTGAATATCAGGGAGGAGACCTTAATGTCATGACGGTATTGAAGTACAGGCTGCAGAATTGGTAGAAATAGTATTACAAGGGAAAGCAACAGTTCAGAGATGATAGCAGTGCTCTTATGCCTGAGTCAGTGATCTTGCCTGGCTTGCAGATAGATGTATTGGAGTGTACTCTCTAGGATTGCTTTCAAAGTTACAAGGATGCATGAAGAGTAAGACTGAGAGAAAGGTATGTATCGGTGCTATTAGCTCATTGGACATTGAACTGGCTGTTGTGCAAGCTGACAAGGTATTTTGAAAGGCAAAGAGATTGTGGGAGGTAAAAGTAATTTACTTGTGCTTTGGTTTACCCCCCACCCCAACCCAATGTCTTCCTTTCCATGAGCAGTACATACAACTTTCACACGTAAATGCATTATCTGTCATGGATATCTAGGCCTGTTTAGATGTTGTTAGTCTTAATTGTGCCAGTTAAGCCAGTTAAGCTTGCAGCTTTATGTGATTTTTCCTTGCAGGAAAAAACACTAGCTTCTGATCTGACAGAAGCATAAAAGCATATGCCTAGAGTCCCATTCAGGTAAATCTTAGATACATTCGAAGAGCAGATAAAGAAAGGATGTCGTGGGGAAAGTCTTGTATATAAGAGCTTTCTAATTGCTGAGTTTAGGTCTAGTTTAATCTCATGGAGTTGCTTGGCTTGTGGCTATAATGAAATGGCTTTAACTGTTCCTGTAAAGTAAGGGTAAAGCATTTAAATTGAGGGCATCTGGAAGTTTACCTCTTCATATTTTACATTCTTCTTTGTGTGCAAAAGGTGGATATTCTCTGAAAGAGAACTACCACAGCTGTAAATAGCTGTACAATAGAAAATTAACAAGCTAAAAGATTTTTTTGAAAAAAACATATTAAAAAGGAGGTAGGCAGAAAATGGCTGTGCACATGTACACACAGCTCTACTTTTTTTTTTCCCTGAGGTTAAAAACATTAACTTTTGTAACCTTAGAAGAAAGTCACCATTGGAAAATGAGCTACGGTTATATCCAAGTGCAATTCATCTATTCGATAAAGACTGAGTTCAGTGAGCCATGGAAGTCTGCAAAAGTCTTTGCTGCTTAGACCTTGTGCTGCAGATTTTTGCTGAATAGTCTTCCAGGTGCATAGCATGTTATTTTTCCTTACAGTTCAGCTGATTGAACAAGTGAGAGTATTGTGCTTGTTTGGTTAATTAGTCTTAATGTACATGAATTTTTCATAAAATAATATAATTCTTTATAAACTTTTTGTAGCTCTTTATAAACTACTAACATACTTCTGTTTTATTTTTGTAATTTAGTTGATGTTTTTTGGAATCTTTTTGTGCCTGGATGCTTTTCTGTATGTATTCACCCTGCTTCCTTTGAGAGTTTTTCTGGCAATGTTCCGGTTCATCACTTTGCCTTGCTATGGCTTACGGTAAGTTGATTCAAGAGAAAGGTGTTGATACCCTTAAATAATGTTTCTCTATGTGTGCGCTTAATCTTACGGATTTTCAGTGCCTTTTTAACTACCAATGACTTCCTCCACTGTAAAATAGAAGTTTTGGTCTAAACTAGTCAAAGCAAGGGTACATGTGGGACCTTTAAGCTTTGCCACCAGTCACTAACTGTCATCGTTGTTTCCTTCAGACAACAGTTTGATAACAGCACCACTTAGGCATATTCAGGTTAGTAAAGGACAGAGATGTAACCTGACCCTATAGTTTTGTTCTTTTGACTAACACGTATTTGAACAGTGTTTTAACATTTCTTAGACTTGAGTTAATGACTTGGTTCATGTTTCAATATCAGCAAGTCTACCAAAATACAAAAGCTTGATTTTTTTAATTTATTTTTTACAGTAAAAGTTCCATGGTAAACTTTGCCCAAAGGATCCCTGCATAAAATGTGTTATTTTCTTTCCCTCAAAGAATCTTAAGAGAGTAATTGGGTGGGACTAACCAGAATAATGTTAAGAAATTTTAGATCTCAATCCCTTGCTTTTTTGTTCAGATCAATACTAAGAAAAGGTTGCTAATACAGAGGATTTTTGGTTTGCCTCTCTGGCGTAGGCATCAAAAATTGGATAGAATTAATTTCCTTCATAGAAGTTGCTACTTCATGGTAAAGCTGATTATGTAAGCCTTAAGTGTAGCCTAAAAGAAAAGGAGTATGATGTTGTACTTTTTCCTTGAATAAATAAGGACTTCAGGGTTTTCATTCTGGATTTCTCCAAACTTAAAGTTGATTTATGGTAGCTGACTTTTTTTTTTTTTTAAATTGCTTGTGTTTGCGTTATTGGTAGTCTTTTATATGTGAATAGTCTTTTATATGTGAAGTGCTTTTAGATGGATAGTTTAGAATCTATGTTCTGATTAAAGCAAATGCTACTCTAGTTGCATAAGAATATTTTAAAGTATTGTCAAAGTAAGTTGAAATGTTTGTACTTCGATGCTTAACATAGCCACTAGGTGGCAGTCTCTAATATTTTACTGTACTGTAAATTTTGAGCTGAATCTCAGACTTTCATTATTTTAAGAGTTTTCCTAGCTGTGTAAAAAATGACAGCTGTTTAGTTTTAGCCTGATGACAAGTCAGATCATGTGCCTATTTGTAAATATCCGTACAGATGCTATTGCTAAAAGTATTAAAATACTGGTAAATGTAATGGATTTTAACCTATCGTTTGGATCTTACTACTTTTTTTTCTGTTTAAAAAGTGTTCTTCCTTGTTTATAAACTCAGCTTTGCTTTTTGACAAGCAAGTTTCCTGCTTTTCTGAAATTACGATTAAAAATTTGAAAGACCAGTTGCTGCAACATCAGAAATACCATATACACTCACACACACGTGTGTGTGCGTATATATATGTACACGTACCTGCGATGTTAAAACCTAGTCTACTTGCGTGACAGATTTGTAGTGTGTGAGGCTGATAGAATCCACTTTATTCAACTTGACTATGTTAACTTTAAAGTGTGATCAGGTAAGATGCAGTGAAACACACTATCTTGAGTGAAGAAGGCTTTGTTTTTGTAACAACTCCTGAAGCAATTTCTTTTGTCACGGTTTCCTCAAATGTTCATGGAATTTATTTCCCTAGAATCTCTTGTTCACTGCTTGAGTCTTTGTCTAATTCATTAATGTTTTTAAATTGGTGGCTTTTTACTGAAAGGTTCACAATTCACGTTTATAGTATGTCATGGAACTTTCTCATGTCATGATTCTTATTTGCAAATATTCAGAGCCTGCACTTTGATTTTGGTGGTTTTTTGTTGTTTTTCTAGTTATGCAGATTTGATTTGTTATGGCAAAAAAGATTTAGGATTTTCTTCTAGCTCAGGAAATATATTTTTATGTGTAACAAAATAGAGTTCAATAGGTAAAGTTTGTAATTAAAAAAGGTACTTACAAAGCAGGTGGCTGTTTATCTTTTAGCTTGCTCTTCCTCACCTATGTCAAGTAACTGTTGAGAGAAATGACTAGTTATTTGAACCTGCCACATCATATTCCATTCTGTGTAGTAAATAAAAGTGCTCCTCCCTTCACCTTGACTTTTTTCTCAACATCTCAGTAAAGTGATTGAGCAGTGAGTGTTCTGTCTCCCTTCCAGTTTACTCTTCATTTATTTCCTCATAACTGTTTCTGCTCTTTTCAGTGTAGAAAAAGATTATATTACCTATTATTTCTTGAAAACAATAAAACCACATTCTATGTAAGATGGGCCAATTCCTGTCTATGGTATTGTGTGTAGTGCTTAAATGTAGGAAAGCGCTTTATAGCCTCTTCCACATGTTTTAATATTCCATTTTACAGAGCTCTGAAAGGGAACAGAGAGTTCACAGTTAGTAAAAACTAACTGATCTGTGGTTGAAAGGTATGGTTTCCTTTTACAGTGCTTTCACTTTTTTTAAATTAATGCCTCAGACCCAGAGATTCTGGGCAGATTAGTATCTCTGCTTGTTATGAAACTCTTTTATAGACCTAACTTTTTTTTCTTGAAAATATGTTGCACACCAATAAAAGCTCTTGTGGGAATATGGAAAAGCTCGTCTGTATTATTTGAAAAACACCATGATATGAAACTAAAATTGTATGTTAGTGAAACTCTCATGGGACTCCCAAATTAATTACACTTAGACGCTTTTTACATCTTGTCCACAAAGCAAGCAAGGACTTGTTACAGAATCTGAGATTTTTTTTCCCCCTCCAAATTCTAGTTTTTTCTAGAAAATACAGAAATAGATTATGAATTTTCTTATATGTGAAGATTGATTGACAAGATCTTTACATTTCTTCCGTGTGGAAATAGATACAGATTATAAATGTGTTCTGTGTTTTTTCTTTTACTCTGCTTTTCTCTGTGAAATAAGTGAATTTAGGTCTTGTCAGCAACACCATTAAGTTCAGTTGTATTATATGTACCTTTTCAAATTCCCATTTCCCTCCTGTGAAATGATAGATTTATGCTTTTCAGTAGGAAATAAATAGAACAGCATTACTTCAAGAAAGAAACTGTATAAAGAAAGCATCTCAGAAAAAACAAACCAAAACAAACAAATATACTGGCAATCTTATTATGGACATTATTTCTTTGTTCATATTACCAGGTTATTAAATAAATTTGAACCTGTGTTGCACACTTATTCCCGAGTCTAGTTTTTTGCTAAGGCCTATAGCTGTTAACCAGATAATAGGAAGTTTATGTATTTAAGTTCATTGAGACAGTAGTGCACGTGTCCACCAAAATGTGTAGCTTTCTACCAACCAGAAAAAGGCAGGTGCATTCAGTATTTTCTGTAGTGAACTCTCAGATCAAATAGTCCTTTCTCCTTTCCATAACAGTGCATAGTGTAGCAACATTACAACCTTCTCTTTCTTTCTTTCTTGTAAATCAGACCGAAGGGAAGAGCACTTTCACTTCCTTTATAGGATGGAATGTGGTGTCACAGGGATTCCTCCTTGGTGAGTAAATCCTGATTTTTCTTTTTTCTTCTATGCTGTCAGCCAAATTCACACATCTACATGTGATCAGTAAAAAGACTGATTACAAATGAGTAGTATAGCTAAATTAACCAACATACCTCAAAGGAGTAACTAACACTTAGTTTTAATAACCAACACATGAAATTGATTCAGTGCTGGTTTTGGTAGGTGTATTTTTGAATATAAGTTCCCCTCACTGTGGAAATAGGTTGTGATCTTAATGGATTTAAAACATTATTTACATAGAGTGCCTGTGGACCAGTTCAGCCCAATTTACTTACAATAGGATATCTTGGAAAAACTATAGCCCCTGCTGTACTTAGTTTATAGTGCCTTAAGCTTTTTTATGTTTATTCTAAGTAACACTTCAGTCAAGTTCATAGCTATATTTTTGTGCGTACTTCAAGCAGGTTTTTTTGTAATGCTTAATGTAAATTTTGGGAAGTTCTGAAAGTTGATTGCCAGGTATCTTAGTATTAGACATGAAGTTGATTGTCTGCATAATAAAATACAACACTTTAGCTGTTCATATACTGACCTCTGTTACAGTTGATTCTTTTCTTAAAAAAAATAAAAGCTTAATGAAAGCTAATTCTAGTTGTCACTTACTTGAAACCTCATTTTTTTTTATTTATTTTGAGACAGCTCTCATCGGGGCCTAACAGCAAGGTTGGTTTCGTTTCATTCTTAGCATGGTCTCGTGCTGTGTTGTGTGCATGTAGAGGCTTTTTATTATTTGAGAAATGAAATGCCGTGCCATCTAATCTTGGCAAACTTAGCTCTCTGTACCCTAGAATTCTTCATTTGGGACATATTTTTATCAGCACTTAGTCTGATAATTTTACAACAATGAAGTCCTGCATACTGTAAACTGTTTTTTTTTTTTTAAAGTCTCAAACTGGATATTAGATTCCTGAAGCCAAACTTAGTTCCAAACTTGAGCATAATTGTAGGAAAATATTTCCAATAGATCACTGCACATTTTGAAAATTCTTAGTGTGTAGCTATATGGGCAAGTATTCAGAGAAACTTGCTTGCATTTTGTTTTCCCTGACGTCTTTACTTAGTATGCTAACAGGAAAATATCCCCTTATGTGTTAGTCTGATTGTTCTTGTTAATGCTTTGTATAAGATTAGAAACTTTTGCTACCACAGTTCATTAATGAAGGATACATTGAAAGATTAAGACTTTGATCAAGACTAAATATCTATGTGTAAAATAAAATCCTACGGTTCTGTTTCCATACAAGTATCTGTGATGTAAAAATGGAGATAAAAAAGATATCTAAACAAAACTTTTAACGAGACCACCATTTCAATAACTGAGATGTATTATTAATTAATAACCACCTCAGTGGTTGTCTAACCCTTTCAAAGTTAATATTGAATAAATAGTAGTTAGAAAAGCTTTGCTGTAAAATACTTGCTCAGACTTGTAACCTCAGTGCTAAA